TATTTGAATTATCCTCATGTTAAAAAAGAAGTGATCGGGAATCTTTTTTCCTTTCAAGTCTTTGCTCTTGTGTTATTATTCTTTCTTATGTTCTTTAATCACCACAGCCTTGCAGGCTGCAAACGAAAGATAAACAAACAATGGAATATCTAATGTTTAAAATACAAGCACAGATAAAAAAAGTAAAGCATACCCCTGAAGTCCTTATAGATTAAAAATAAGTAAAGAAATGGCACAAATTTGTATTTAGAAAAATAATTTATTTCTCAATATTTGTAATGAAGGGAGTTGTCAGTCACATTAATTTTTATGTAAATTTACCTAAGCTGATGAATCATAACTGAAATATAGTCTAATCTTCCCGGTTTTGGCCAGCATTTCCATTTCCATTTCGATTGCCTCAATTTATTTTTGTTTGCTTATATAATGAGTTTTAAGGGCCCATTCCAGGACCCATAATGAGCAGAGTGAAAAGAGGGGCTGCTCAAGGCACTGCCAGTCCCACACAAGCAGTGGCTGCCCAACACATCAGACCAGTCCCCATGACAGACACTGAGCTTGGCACACAGCTGACGATTCATTATCATTCCTTCGGTAGACATCACAGCAGAGGAGATTTTTAGGGAGGGATTTGAAGGAGGAAAATTAAGTGAGTGGGAGTGCGAAGCAGCAGCGAGGGAAAGCATGAAGGTGCTGGTTTGAAAATGTAACAAGTAGAGAGTTATTACTGAATGAAATGTGTGGGGGGAAGCCGTTGGTTTCTCCATAGGCTATTAAAAGATGGTGGGGTGGGAATAAGCTGCAAAGAGCCACAGAAGTGAGGCAGCTTTCGCTTGCCAAGATGCAGAAGGGGGAGGGGGGATGTTCTGGAACAAGGAATAGGGCTGAAGCAGCAAATGTGAGGATAACCAGGGCACCAGTGTCTTGCAACAGTGTTCTGTTATTCTTTGATGTTTTGTAATGTCCAAAATCAGACTGTTAGGGCCAAGGGCCTCTTTGTCCTAATGACAATCCCAACATGTTCTCAGGTGCTCTAAAAATTCACAAATAAAAATAAGCAACTGCTTCTCCTGAAAACCATTTCCCTCATTCTTCAGCCCTGATTCGAATTACACCATTCAGTTATCTTTCTATTTCCAAAAGAACTTTCTATATGAACTTTCCAGTCCTCTCTTGTCAAATTATCTTACTGTTTTTGGAAAGACTGCATATCATCTATATTTAACACCACTTCAGCTTGGTGAGGTGACTATAACATAGCATTAAACTCAGACTAAAAAAATGAGTGTGGCATTTCTAGGTTTTTCAAGTGTGTTAACTCAGAAGAGATAATTTGAATGGAAAAAGTGCTTTCCCCCAAATGTCTCTGATTTCAATAGAACTTCTTGCAGGTATTTCAATTGAGTTAATCGGCTGGCAATTAGATGCAAAAGGCCTTTGGATTAGTATTTGTGGTCACCACAGAAGCGAGTCTCAGAGAAATGTGAATAAAGAGGTCACCCGAAGAACAGATATGGAAAGTCTCTCCACAGGCACTTAATTCTTAGAAATTTACAGATGAAAAATGCTATATGGGTAATAATAGATAGAAATGAAATATGGATGAGGGGACACTAAAGCTGGAAGAGCAAGTAGAACAAAGGGAATAAGGGGATGTGGGGACATGGTAAGAAACTAGACTAGAGCTGCAAACTTGGACAGAACTGTTTAAGACCTAAAAAAAGAAAAAAAAAAAAGAAATATCAAGTAAAGGAATGAAGAGATCAGTACTATGAGAAATTATTTGAAGGAGAGTTGGGATGGGACATGGCTATCAGGGAACATAAAAGAGAAAGATCAGAGTATGTGTGACATATTCAGAAGAGGGAAGTCCCAGGATCATTCACCCAGCAATAGATAAGGAAGAGCAGAAGGCCTGGGTGATTTGCTAACCTGGAGCAAGGCTGTAAGAGAAAGAATGTGTCTGTGGGGGTGTGTGCACTTAGTGTAGCTCACTGTCAGCAGCGAGACAAATCCACCTTTTTAGTATGCAAGTGACCACCTATAGTTTATAAAGACTGCAGAGGGGAAAGTCTAGAAAATATTTTTGCAGAGCTTGGATCTAGATGACCTTCAACATTCTTCTAGGCAAGGGTGTATCTTCCAAGCCCATCACAAAGCCCCCTTGGTACACCACTTCAGACAGGTATTTCATCATGGAATAGGAATGTGGCTGAAGTATCATTCAATTAGCTTATATAATACTAAAGTAAAATACTGAGAGGGAAGAGGAATAGATAAAGGAAAGAGGCCTAAGTGCCACTGAAAAAGAAAGGAAACAGCAAAGGAAGTGAAACCACAAAAATAAATGCTGCAAAAATAACCAGAGAACTATGAAGTGAAAGAAGAATGAGCAAGGCTGCAAAAAGGAGCAGGCTTTCTCTTTTCTAGGGAGAAAGGTAGCAAGTGACCCACAGAAAAATCTAAGTATGTAGAACCTGTAGGTATTATCCACCTGAGTGTCATTAAGAGGAGCTGAACTGGAGCAGAAAAGGCACATACTAGGTAGGAAGACAAAGAGGTAAAGTGATGTTTAAATAACAGAACTTAGATGGAGAAAGATACAACTTTACATGCTTTAATTTTTAATCTTGGATTGTTTCCCTGATAGTCACTGGTCACTAGGAAATGGTTACATTAATTTACTAAGATCTAAGGAAGCAAACATCTTAGTGTGTGCATAACCATAAACACAGTCCTGCCTGTTTCCATTGCTTAGCACTGCTCATGTACTCCCTGTTTCAGAGTTTTAAGAGCCGCCTGGTTCAGGGTGCATTCAGCCCCACGTCTGCCTGTGTATGCACATTAACACGAGTCTTGATGCTTGTGCTTGTAACCCTGTGCTCATCCCGCGGTCACCCTCGCTTCCGAGAGGCTGGAGCTGTCTGCGTGGAGGATGCACAATGGAGCCTGCGCCTCAGCATTAGAGAGACACGCATGATCACACCCAGCCTGCGGGTCCCGCGGGACTCACACACATAATTAGCCCCTGTACACCAGAGCCTCCATCGCCGTGTTTGCCACATGGTGAGTGTCACCCAGCGGGCCCGCGAACACGCGCACACAGGAGCCCTCCCGTCCCCAGCACTGCATCTGCCATATGGTCAGGCTCACCTGCTGGGGCTGGGGCAAGGAGACAGACGGGCAACACTCACACACATAATGAAGCTCCCCACTGGGCCGCCTTAAGAAATTAAAAAAAAAAAGAAAAAAAAAGTTGACATAACTGCCGCATGACCAGACTCACCTGCTGAGTCTTGGGGCAGGGTGGGGCGGTCACGCACACATGCATTGCCCATCTCTGCCAATGCTGAGAGCAGGAGGGATGTGCTCGCTTCCCCTGGGGCGACAGAGACCCTGAACCCACACAGACCGCCGGCCCCTCTGCCCCCCGCTGCCCTGAGCTGTGTGGAGGGGGACATGTAACACCAGGACACCCGGCAGTAGGAAGATTTCTTCACAGAAAGGGTGATTACATGTGGAAATAGACCGTACAGGGAGGCGATAGAGTTGCGGTCCCTGAAGGTGTTAAAAGAAGGACTGGACATAGCACTTGATGCCATGGCCTAGGTAACATAGTGGTGTTAGATTGGACTCGATGATCTCAGAGGTCTTCTCCAACCTAACCGATACTCTGTGATAACAAACCTCTCCTCCACAGCGCCCTGTGCGCACCTCAGGCTCACACCGACTCCCACGGGCAGCCAGGAGCCCCGGGAGGAGCTCCGGTACCGGCACAGCTCCGTCCTCGGGGGCGCAGCGACGGCAATTGCCGAGGTGCCGAGCAGCCACCAGGGAGCGAAAAACGAACCCTCCGTTCCCCGTCCGAGCAGCGCCGGTAAACAGCGGCCGCGGGAGGCGGGGCGGGGAGGGGCGGGCGCGGTCGTGCGGGAGGGAGCCGTGCTGCGTGAGGGGCGGGCGGCCGGCGGTGCTCCCCTCACGCCCCGCCCGCCGCCACCGCGGCGGCCGCCGGGCTGGGCGAGGATGGAAGTGGAGGCTGCTTCCCGCGCAGGCTGTTCCCGGGCAGGCGCTCCCGGGAAAGGGTCTCTCCGGGCAGGATGAGCCCGGGAAGCCGCTCGCAGGGAAGGCTGTCCCTGGGCAGGCTGTCCCTGGGGAGGGCCGTCAGCCCCGCCGCCATGTCGGGGGGAGCGGGGCTCCCCCATGGCGGTGACGCGCGTTGCCATGGCGACGGCCGGGCGGCGTTGGGGGGGGTGGCGGGATGACAACAAATATGGCGGAGAGGAGCAGGACGGCAGAGACGGGTCAGTGCCAGCCGCAGTCGCCTGGGCGGGGGGAGAGGGGGAGCCCCCCTTCTCCAGGGGCTTCTGGCGGTAGAGGGGGCCTGGCTCGCAGCGGAGTGCGGAGATGGAGCCCTTCTCCTGGGGGAAACGGGGGGTAGCACCTCTGGCCGAGGGCACTGAGGTGGTGAAGGGACCGCGGCAGAGGCTCCTGCCCGAGGAGCTGTGACGAAGGGCAAAGCCCCTTCCCTTGGGGGCTGAGGAGAGTCTTCCAGGGACAAGGTGGTCGTGGGGAAAGCTCCTTCAGGCAGGTAGAGAGGGAAGAGCCCGCCTCGTTCCAGGCCTGCCTGGGCGGCACTGACCCGCTGTGGCTGGAAGGTGTGAGGGCCGGAGGCCGGCTCACCCGGCCGGCGCTGCGGGGCCGAGCCCCGGCGGGGCACAGGAGGAGGCTGATGGTGGGGCAGCCCGCACCCTGCCCCGTCCTCCCGCACCCTGCCCCGTCCTCCCGCACCCTGCTCCATCCTCCCTGGCACCCTGCCCCATCCTCCCGCAACCTGCTCCATCCTCCCGCAACCTGCTCCATCCTCCCGGCAGGGGCAAAGGTGGCGGTGGCGAAGAGCAGAGCAAACCGGCGGTGCAGAGGAGCTCCCCTTACACAAGAAACGACCGCCTGCGTGAATTAGCATGAGAAAATAATACATGAAGATACAGGTCTGGGACTGAAACTGCAGCACAAGGCTGGTAGCTTGCGGGTTGACCTGCAGGTGCTGCTTGACCCGTCTGCGAGGTGTAAAGTACCCGGAGGCTGCAGAGGGACAGCGAGCAGCACACCTGACAGCTCCCATCCCTTACACTGTTGCTGAGGATTTCTTTAAGGAAGGTGCCAAATGTTATTCTTCCTATTCAGGATGTATTAACAATGGCTTTAACTGTGTATGTGAGATAAGTTTGTCTGAAACGGAAGTTTTGTGTCTCCTCATAAATGATAAGGACCCTCTAGGTACAGGGGTCTTTCCTGTTGTAACAAAACACAGTTAAGGTCTTTTCCAATCCACGTGAAAAAGAAAGCTCTCAAAATACATTATGAAAATTAGAGATACTAACATTTGGAAGATGGAACAAAGATGACAGCATTCCTGAATATTTAATCTCCCACAGTACCATACATAAATTATCTGGGTTCCTGAACCAGGAGTTCATTTTCCCAGCCTGCTGTGTTAGCTGATGCACCTCCACTTTTCAGCCTGAGATGTGGCTCCAAATAAATATGCATTACCCATAGAACTGGTCATGAATTTTTGGTCCACTTAAGGTTAAAAAAAGGGATAACTATGTCAAATGCTGTTGTGTTCTGGGAAATGATACTACAGAGTCTACATCTAAAAGGATTGTTCATATGGTTCTTAAGCTCCCTGTGTTCAGCCATACTGTTTATGAACCCATGGAAAAACACTGTGAAGTTTATTATGTGTTGAACTAGTCCATGAAGCAGGTGATTATTTTCATTCTCTGCACTCTGCAACACTGTTCACACAGGTGATCAGCTCTGCCTGAGCTGTGAATTGGGGAACAGATCTCTGGTGGCCATTGAACTTTGTCAGCTTTCCTTCCTACCCTCTGTACCTGTACCATTGTCAGTAGCTTCAACATGGAATGTAACTGTCATACTATTTCCAGATTAATTTACATTGTGTTCTCTGCTGTATTGCTTAAACCTGCAGTGTCACAGTATTTGCTTTTTAATTTTAGCCTTGCCCAGAACTTTTCCCACTTCTGATCATTGCAACTGACTAATCCATGATTTTCTCATAAATGTTGTGTTCCAGCTTATGCTGAATTCATGTTTGCATGTCCTGGTCCATGTCTGCTTGAGTTACACAATGCTTGTCTGGCCACTTTGCAAGTTTAATTTGCAGGTCCTTCTGTTTTGGAGAAGCCAGATAAGGAATTAAAAATGTAAAGAACCACAAAGATAGGGAAAAGACCCAAAACCCTTAGAGAAAAGGAATCAAGCTTATCATCTTGGCCCACTTTTAAGAAAGGTCATGGAAACTAGGCTGTGAGAAAAAAAGATGGGATGTTTGGATTTTTTCTGATTGTCAACTGGCACTAAGTCAACAGGCAGGTTCTTTCCATGACAAATCCCTCAAAGAATCTCTTTTTTCCTCCTCTTTACTGCTGGGTGACACTGACACTGCTGTTGAACACATAACTGGGAAATGTTCCTGCTGCATCCTCACTGCTTAGTGTGTCTTCATCATGTGTGAGATCTTGAGCAGTCTAGGAGATAAAGGAATGTAGCTCTGGAACCTGCATTTTGCACAAATGCAAGGAGAACAAAGCCATTACAGAAGGACTGAACATTGTTCAAACCATATAAATCAGTTTAGCCAGTATGAGTATTTTTTTTTTTTAACAGCAACATCGCCAGTTTAGCCAGCATGAGTATTTTTTTTTTTTTTTTTAACAGCAACATCATGTTTTTAGTTGAGGATCAGAAAACACAAGTGATAACTCATCATCTCCTCATCTTGAAATACTGATTGTTATTTGCAATTTTTGCATAAGGAAACTGTGTTTCAGAGAAATTGAAGGTAACTTACTCATGGTTTACAGCAGCACAGATTGCTGTGATGGACCATTCTTTACTGATTCAGTTCAGAACCCAGGTTTGACAAGAGTCGATGTCAGAAAAAAATACAGTGTGCACTTAGAGATAAGGGATTATAAAAATTAGGTTTCTTCCTAAAGGTTATCTGACAGTGAATTATGCACATCTAGGATGCTTTTGACCCCTCTAAACTCTTAGATTTGAAAATACACTGCAGCAAGGCATTTGGTAAATTAATTATATTTAATGGAAAAATACATCTTTTTACAAAGCAAGAATTTTTCATTTCAGTTTTATTAGTATCTCTTTCTTTTATAAGGAAGTAAATATCTTAATCTGTCTTATATTGGTAATTATTCTTACTCTTTCCCTATATACAAACGTTTTCATGTTCTGTTCCATTTCCCTGCTGAAGATTTTTGTTTCTGTTTTTGCAAATTTTTAACCTTTTTTTTTTCTTTTTGATTGGGGAGGGGGATTAGGGCACACAGAATTGGACAAAGCATTTCAGAAGAGGGATTTCCGTCAGCTTCTAGTCTACTGTTAGGCCCAGCATTGTTCTCTACATCATGGATTCAGTGCAATTTCAAGTAAAATTGAGACTTAACATGGAAGGTAGATTATCTCACACCTGTCTAGTACAGAGTTCATATTCTGCTGCTATCCTCACTGGACTAGGCAGACATCTGCTCTAATCCATTAAAATAGTTTCTGTATTCTGATGTTTGGTAGAGTGCTGCAAATCAGCTCACTTTACTCTGAATTAATAATTTTACCATTGTAATTGGCTCCTTTGTCCTACTTGCTTTCTTGAAACAGCTTTTTGCAGTAAACTCTGAATTTGTATGCATCCTGTCTGGTTTTCCAGGCTGAAACCTTCATGTCTCAAACTGAGACATGTCAAATCCAACTTAAAAGCAATGTAAATCTTCACAAATGAAGCTTGCAGGATGATGAAAATGGTTGAGTGCAGTTAGTTACTCTCAGGAGCTTCTTGGTTGGACTTGCAGTTGTTCTGCTCAGCTGCCCTTGCTGTCATAAACCTCTGGAAGATACAGGATACAGGAAAAGAACCAGTTTAGTCAAGTTTCATCAAAATCATGATGAATGTTATTTTTCCAGTTCTGTAGCAAAGAAGACATTTTAGCTTCTCTAAGGAAGGATTAGGAGTAGGTCATAGTGAGTACAGAATGCCCGTATTTGCTAAAGTTTTTGACCCACGAACCAGATGAAAGTGTTTTCCAATTTAGAATTTCACTAGTTATCTCATTCTCCCCAGGTTTCTGTTCAAGGCATCTGTATTACCTTCAGAGGACTTGCATCTGGAGACCTGAATGATCAAAGGGTGTAGTTATCTCTGAGTTCTGTAATAGTTTTCTATCCGAGGCAACTGCATATTAGCCTGGATTGACAGTTCTAATATGTGTTATTCCACAATTGCTAGTCATTTTGTGGATATTAGTATTTCTGGTATTTCATTGTGTCATCATCGCTGAAATCATAGCGAAAGCAAGGAAAGGCATTTACTCACGGTACTGGACAGGATATAAATAAATGTCTTTAGACCAAAAATCCTGGTTATCGGAATGAACAGGCTTCCCAGCTGAACGTGGAGTTTTTAATGTTTATTTACATGTCACAGTCAGTACCTTGCAGAGTGGTGTTGAGTCACATTTCATGTTAAGAATGTTTGGAATTTTCAAAGTGTTCACAGTGATGCTGTGACCTGGCTTCAGGGAGGAAATCTGCAAACGTCTGTTGAATGCTCAAGCCCCACCCAAAGTTTGTGTAGTAATTGGTGTTCCTAAAACACTCGGTGTTCAGCTCATTATTTTAGAGATCTGCATGTGAAGGGGCCAATAGAGCAGCTGTGTAAATGCTGCAGTGTTTTCTGATTGATTTCAATATCTTTCAAAAAAGAATACTTATTCTTTTAAAAATATTTAATCACATGTAGTATGACAACATTCTAGTATCAGACACATAACTGCTTTCTTTTCAGTGGCCTTAATTATTAAATAAAAAGCCAAACTAAATAAGAAAATAATTTGTCTTTAAATACAGGTTTTTTCATAACTAATTCACCAGCTTTATCATGAGGAAATTTAAAATAGGAGAGATCAGCTAATTACTTTAACAATAGTACTTAATCTTGGTCATTAAAATAACACTGTACATCAGCGGTACATCTGATTCTCCAGATAAACTTAATTTCTGAATTGACTTTTCCTAAATGATTTCTGAATTTTAAAGTGTATACAAACAACAGAACTTGTTTTGTAATATGCACGACGAACCTGTGAGCATAGCAGAATTCCAGTGTTTGGGTAAAGACATTGCAGCCTTCGTGCTGGAAGGGATCTGCCCACTGTATCCTCCTATCAGCACGAGGAGGCTTCAAACATCAGTGGAAAACTGTGTGGGGACTGGGCCCAGCCTTGCAGATGTTCACACAGCAGAAAGAGCTGTTTGCAGTTGTTTATAAAATGCTGCAGGACAGATTTGTAAACAAATCTGAAATGGGATTTGTTCAATAAAGACATTTGCCAGAACTTACTGATTGCATTGGTATATTTCAGCCAGAGCAGTTGGAAGTCCAGGGGACATTAGAGAAAGGTTTCTTAATAAATCTGAGGCCCTTTGTAAACTATTAACTATTTCAGTTTTAACTGAAATAATTTTAACTGTTAGCTGTATAAGTTGAAATATTCATTGAAGTTCTGTACAGAAATTAACTCTAGTCACTGTAGAAAGGTATTATAGTGATCATTAGACTCTGTTGCCAGTAGGCTGCTATGCAGGTAATTTCCAGTGTTTTTCAGTTATCCAGTGGAAAAAAAAAATCCCCACTAGAAAAATTCACTGAAGAAGAGCTGCTAACGTATATTTGGTATTTAAAGCTTTGATCATATTTTTGTTACATAATTTGCCATATAAGGAGACCTGAGAAATACTAATGAAGGCTTTATACAGCCAGAAGATAAAATTTCAGAAAAAGAAAGAAACAGGAGTATGTTAGGTGTTCCAGTTGCCATTTTTGAATGGTTTACCATTTCCTAGCCATATTTCATACATTTTTTTCTTTGACGAATAATCAAAGCTTGGAAAAGTTACTTACCTCAAGCCTCCCAACGTTTTTTCTTTCAGTGAAGTTCAAAGCACCCTATTAATTACTAGCACTTGTGAGAGGAGGCTTTTGAATTTGTAAAAAGTAAAATGAGACACATGGAGAATTTTAATAGGTTTTATACTGAAATTTGTAAAACAGA